ACTGAACAATCACAGAAACAGTCCTGGCATGCTCTTAAAAACTATACATTTACATTATTGCTTTTAATTCTGATTCTCACTTCATGAGCTAGGAGGGTTACTCCAACTTAACTAGCGGAAGACCTAAGACAGAGTGTAGTGGTTCTCAACCAGCAGCATCTGGAGTTGCTCTGGAGCATCTGGAAGTGAGGGCATCTGGGTCACCACACGGACAGCAGAGGTAACCTAGCATTTAGTAAGCAGGAACCATGGATACCAAACAGACCACAACATGCTGGACAAACGCACAGAATCATCCAGCCCCAAATGCTAGCATTACTGAGACACTGACGGAGAATAAATGGACAAAGACAGACAGCTCACAGTGACTTAACCCGAGCTCAATGACAAAAATCCAAGAAATCACTGGGGACCAACCCAAAGGCAACCAAATATAAAACTGTACCAACTTCTTAAGCTAAAATAGGTCTAGGCTACCTTCTCAAAATAGCAAGAGGAATAAACTAAAAGATGATATAATTCCAAACTCGATACTACTCTGCCACCTTCTTTACCAAGTTTTCCATTTCTGTCTTGTAATTGCCTCAGGACAGTATTTGAGACCTTTATCTGCAGCTACTTCTTCTAAGATCTGATACAAAGAAGTCATCAAGTCTTGCCCAGTTCCCATTCTACTTCCCCTGCTTCGGTTCCACTTTACTACCCATATGGATTAATAGTTACATACTAAGGTTGCCTTGGTTCTATTCTTTTCATCCATGAAACACTGCCCTGTTAACCATCCGAAAGGTCACAGTCTACCTGACAGCCTCTCTCTCACATGGTTACAGTGATTCCTTACTGAACAGCACCCAGGTAACTCAGGTTGATACTCAAGTTTTTCCACCAACTGGTTCCTTATTTCTCCCAACTCAATTAGGATCACAATTTCAACCAGTCTCTTCAATATCCCTCCAAACTACCATAACTCTCCTCTCTCTACTTTTGACCTCAGTTAGCCTAGAATAATTTTCTGACTACTTCTTTCCTACCATTCTGAACCTCATCTACTGATGTGCAGAAATGTCAAATGCAATAAATTCAACTGTAGTTTCACTTTGCGTTATGTCAGTAGCTGTTGCTGCAGCTAAAACACTTGTCATGTCTTTGCAACCCTATGGACCATAGCCCACCAGGCTCCTCCGTCTATGGGATTCTCCAGGCAAGGATACTGGAGTGGGTTGTCATGTCCTCCTCCAGGGGATATTCCCCACCCAGGGGACGAACCTGCATCTCTTATGTCTTCTACACTGGCAAGGATGTTCTTTCACTAGCTCCACCTGGGAAGTAGACCCCTAAATAATTCTAATTTCAACTCTGTGTAGTTCAACTTGGAATCAAAAAGTTGTTTCTTGAAGAAACCATTTAATATAGCATCTTCATTTTAAAAGTAAGAACAAAAACCGAACTCAAGGACACATAATTCTTTAGTGGCAAGACATGAACAAGAGATAAGGGCACAATTCATAATCAAATGTTAACCCTTAATAAGTGCTTATTAAATGAACTCCAATGTACAGAAAGCCTTTTGTAACTCTGCATTCAATAACCTTACACTGAAAGACAGGTTTACACCTTATCAAAGCAAAGACTGCCGACCATGTTTTCCACAAGTCAGGAAGACAAAAATGAGGTTCTTTGATAATTTTGATACTTAAAAAATTCATGAATTTTTACAAAACTTCAATAAATTTGAAATTCCATTTTTTGGCACAGTCCTTGAAATATTCATATGTAAAATGACCTCATTGTGTTTAGAAAGAAATACCTTAAAAATAAGATCAGGGTAGACCATGGTTACAACAGACTATGATGTAATTCAAAATTATACTAGTAAACCAGGAGTCTAGATAAGGACAACAGCAGCATTCCTAACAATGCCTTCATTCTTCAGTTAGAATCATTTTTCTCCCTTTTACTTATTCCATTTGGGGACAGATGATTATTTTATCCCAATAATTCTGATGCCTAGATTACTTGCAAGAATCAAACTGCACCCACTTCTACATGGCAAGAGGAGAATTAAGATAATTAAATCACTACTATATGACTTGGCATATAAAATTATGCTCTCCTGCTTCCTACCAGCAAGTTCACTCCAACTTCATATTCGCTCCAGAAGCCAAGAAGACTGAACAAAAGGCATGTTTATATAATTAGATCAGTCATTTGCTATACATTAATGCAGCAAATACATTCAATTTATCTTGCCTCATTATTGGTTAGATACTATTTAAGGATTCAGATTTCCACAGTTCTTATCTACAGACATTAGATATCAGATGTAAATTCCCTATTTTTTTCCTAATCTCAAAACAGAACTTAATATAGTCCTTTAACATTTAGGAAGATATTCTATTAGTTAAATTAGATATGTAATTCAAATTCTAATAGCCCAATCCCACTTTTAAAAATCTCCTACTCTGTTCCACAGTTAAATGAAATAAAAGACTTTGATTTACAAGTATATTTCTGTCCTAAAGACATCTTTTAGAACAAATGTATTATAGGCTACAAAGGACTGAAAGAAACTGAATAAAACAGTGAAAAACATAAAAGAGCTAGGGCAAAAGAACAGACTTAGAATAACTCTGCACATTAAATCAGTAAGGGGCTTGGAAATAAACTATAGCTGCCCAGCTTTCAAAACAAAGAATGGAGAAATGAACAAATTTTTAAATCACATATGGTAGAAATTATATAAGAATAAAAAGATCTTAGTCACTTTCTACAAATCAAAGCCATAATAAAGCTCATGAGCTTATCTTCTACCTAAACTTAACAGGAGGAACGACTAGGTGGTATTACAGGTAGGCAAACCAATTTATCACTCTGGAATGTTCACATAAATCTCATAAAAGGGAAAGCAGAAATATATTTGGTAAACTCCTTTCTTAATTTCATTCTAAATATAGTAAGAAAGGTTCTAAAAAAATTAAGTGTAAATGTAAATTATAGGTTTACTTTTCATATAGCATTTAACTATTAAACACGTACAAAAGCAAAAGACTGAATAAGTGATGATTTCTACACTTGATGCCTGCTGTCATTTGGCAATTAGCATTAGGCCTAACACTTTAACCTCTCCCTTTGTGTATTAATAATATGCTAATTATTCAAATGCATTAGGGATAAAAAGTTTTGTTTAAGAAAAATATTTGCTTTTATAAAGTCAGGCTTGCTTGCAGTACTTATTATAGTAAGTTATAAAAGGAGCAGACTGGCTGTTAAAACAGTTATGTACATAAAAAAATTGAGACCACATTGGGTCCCAATTGGGAAAATAGTAAAAATTAAACCCACTGAAAAGAAAACCAAAATAATCTAAAAATAACTAATTTAGTTCCACATTTTTCCCCCTTAGAGTCCAGGTGATACTCTTTTTGGGAATAAAAAAATTTGCTTTTCATTCTAAACAGTCCATCTAGATCCAACAACACACTACTTTCGTCACTACACAGAGCTGTGCTGAACAACTAGTACCCACACTGCCAAAATTTAAATCCCATCTTCACGAGACTAAAATAGGAGCGCTAGACTAGAAAGGTATTGATCACTGGATGTAGGAATATCTAAACAAATGAAGTAAAAAATATTTCAGTATCAACTAGCTATTTGGGCAAGAACCACTTAGACATACTGTCTTAGAAACTCACAAATTGAGATCTAGCCTGGTCAGATACTACCATTTTACTAGGTATGAGTGTACTATTGATATTTACTATGAATGAGAGTCTTCACTTAGTAACACAATTCAATGAAAACTTTTATCAGCATTTTGAACATAGCACTTTAATCACAAAGGAAACGAGGCATATCCTGATACCATATATAGCCCTACCTTGAAATGAAGACTTTGAAAGGTAAGGAAATGCAAGATACATGTTAAATCAAATGCAGGCTTCCCACCCCCTCCCTTTCTCAGGAGGCAGATAAATCGAAAATGTGGAGAGCACAGTTCCTTGCTTCTCTGTTTATTATCTGGTGTTTTTTTTTTTTCCTATTTATCACCAACATATTACTTCAGTAATATATAGGAAGCAGATACCCTACTGATGGTGAACAAAGCATTTTCTTTTTAAAATCTCAAGCTTAAGTTTAAAAATAAGGGCAATGGAGGTAAATGCCACAGTAAAAGTAAACACAATTTTACTTCAAGTTTAAATAGTTTGAGAGGAATTGTGAAATATTCTCCATTGTTCAGACTGAAAAAATGATCTTGAAGAATAAGTAGATATTTGGAAAAATATGCTATGATAAAATTATAGTTCGTGCATCACCAGGAAAAATATTCTCTATACTAATACTTCAGAGTATAGTTAACCTCACAGTATTTACATATACATCACAAATGTAGACCATGATGGGAAAACATACCAAGATAGTATAATGTAAATAGAGAAGTATACTAAGAAAATGCTCTAAAACTTCTAGAAAACAGCAACACTTTGTAACTATATAAAATTTACATTTGTTTTCTAATTTTTCTAGATGATCAAGTCAGAAACAAATTCAAATTCAATCTCTAATTCAAGAGAATAATAAATAGGTCATAACTGGAACATCTACCATAAACAATATTTTTAAAAAGCAAATAAAATGTGCCTTGTGCAACTGTCTTTAAGCTTCATCCTCAACATAGTCTGTTCAACAGACCACTACTATAAGCAGATATATTTCCCCTTAGAAACTTCTACCTCCTCGCAAAGACAGTAATTATTATAGCAAACCTTTAGAACTCTTTTGTGGATACATGTTATTAGCTATGTATAAACTGAAAGTCAAGAAACAACACGGCAACACACAACCTGAATGTATGATTAATCACCCGGAGAAACACGACCACAGGATTTCACTTTAATACCTGATCATACCATTTCCTTGGAATTACACAGGAACAGCAACTAATCAGCAATAGAGAATGACTGGGGAAAGTTCAGTTCAATTAAATGAAAGGATACAGCCTTAAAGCACCAGTCTGAGTTCCCACTGCCAGGATCTTCTGCACAGGATCAAAGGCCAGCGCTGAGGGTTGATAGGGAAATCCATGGCGAACAGTCTAGGCATGAGCAAGTGACATCACAGCAACCAGGGCAGGAAGCAAAGTTTTAAAACAGAAAAGTCAACAGAGACATTAGAACCTAGAACCAATTAAGAACCAATTATAACTGAAACAAAACACACATAAATGCACTGCTATTTAAAAAAAAAAAAACTATGAAAACTATGAATTCTACATCGCATAAAAACTTATGCAAGTAAAAACTGAAACAACAACAAAAAAATCGATCTCAGTGTTACATTTCTACTTTCTCATCACAGTGGTACTGTTTAGAAGAAAATTTAACATTCTTTTTACTATTATGTCTGAGAACAAATGATTAAAGTTGGCAGTGGTCAAAATTCTATAAATTCATTCAAAACTGCAACTCATGCTTATTTCAAGTGTGATAACTTCATCCTTACTTTATTTCTATGCTAAATGCAAGTACGTTTACAGAAACGCTTCATAATTAATTAAGGATTCAGCAAAGGAATTAGCAAAAATCTATCTCATCATGTTGCAAGCATAACAGAATGAAATAAATCCAGCATCTATTTTTGCATTTTGGTATTAAATCCTTAATTTTAGGACACTGAAGCAAAAAGTATATACACACTTAAACTCTGACTTACGAACGCCTGGTATTTATGAAAGCAGGTATTAATACCGACACAAGTTTGTATTTCTCATTGAGCAGCTGGTGAATTAATTCGCTGCATCATTCTTTCTGAATTACACATCACTATGGCAATTGCCGTACCATTAATAGGCAAAAATTCCACTTCTAACTTTTTCACCAAACACAAGGCTAGCAAGACCCTGTGATTTCATTATGTGACACGTCTCCTACCACATTTTAAGGTTAAAAATGAGCCAACATCTAGTTGAATACGTCTAGCTTTTTCATAAACAATATTCGTTAGACACTGTTCCCAAAGGAAACTTGGAAGACGGTGAAAGATCTATCAAAATGCTTGAATATAAAAGTCGTTAAGATTAAGAATACGAATTAAAGGTCAGTATGTTGGAAGCAATCCTGAAATGATTGCCGCATGTGAAAATCAACGAAAAGAGGAGTAAGATGATGTCAATCTCCAAAATAGCCCACCAAGCAAATGTGTGCTGGGGGAGCGAGCCCTTTATTCGCGGTATTGAGTATTACTGGCGTTCTAGCCCTGTCACTCGGGCGCAAAGCCCGAGGTGCCCCTAGAACGACCCCAATTTTCGCGGGGCTGCGCGCTCCGTTCACCTTGCAGAGCTGAAAGTGCTCGGACTGGAGCGTTTCCTGGATCTCGGGCTCCCGGTTCCCAGGTGGGTGCTGCTGCTGCTGCTGCTGCTGCGAGGCCGAGGACGAGCCGGCGGTCAGGCCGTCCAGCACCTTCCTGATGTTGAATTTCCTCATGGTCGCGGCGGGGCTCCCCCGTACCCCAGGAGCCGAGGTAAGAGGCGTCCCCAGGCGGAGGGGAACCGGCCCGGGCCGAGAGCAGCTTCGACCGAGGACGCGAAGGAACAAGCGCGAGTGGGAGTGTGAGGGGAAGGAGGCAGCTGGGGAGAAGCGAGAGATAATCCGAACAGGAAATGCTGCGACGACGAGAGAGAGCAGCGGCGACCAGAAGCCCAGCCGGCGACCCCTCTCGCTCCGAGGCCGCCGCTTCAGCCGCCGCCGCCGCCGCCTCGCTCCGCGGCCCGGCGGCACAGCAGTGGCGGCGGCGCCCCGAGCCCGCGCCGCCCAGCCTCACCTGGCGGCGGGCTGACTCTGCGCCGCGCCGCCGCCCCGGCTCGCCCCCGCCGCCGCCGCCGCGTCCATGGCCCGCGGCCCCGCCGCTCGTCGTCCGCCCGGGCCCCCGCAGTCCCTCAGCGCTTCCTCCCGCTCCGGATCCGCCTCCTCTTCCTCCCGGGGGTCGCCGGCTCTCCGTCCGCGTTCGCTGCTCGGCCTCCTGGCCGGTCAGCGCCGCTGCCCGCCGGGCATCGCACGCAGGGCGCCCGGGGTGGGTCCCCGCGCTCTCCACCTCGCTTCTCCGCGCCTGGGTCGGCCCGCCCTCGCTCCTTCAGAGCCCCGGCTGCCCTCCTCAGGCACCGCCGTCGCCGCCGCCCGCGGTCCCGCCCGGCCGCTCCCTCTCGCCTCACAGGGCGCCTCGGCACAGGACACCAACGCCCGCTCCGAGCAGCAGCGGCGGCCGCAGTTACAGCGCTGGCCGCGGCGGTGGCGGCAGCTGGGCCTCGGCGGAGCCGGGCTGCTGAGCATGCGCACCGCGCGTACCCACCCCCTCCGCCGCCGGAGTGGAGCTGGGGCTTAAATTATCCTCTGCGAAAATCCCAGACCGTGGCTAAATTTCTCCCATCTCAATCGCCCTGCCAGAGGATGCAGCTGCTTCTCCTGCAGCTGGGGTAGTAAAAATGTTGATGACTACCAAGCAGCAGGAAACCTTTATTTCAAAATCGGTCATTAAAACGAGGGTTTATATTCTCACCCTTTAACGAGGCACACACTCCCGGCTGCTGGCTGCAAAGTGATTGTTGCCGCTTTATTGATGATCTTTGTTTTGAACTGATTTGGATTTGGATTTTGGAAAGAGAACGTCTAGACAACGGTTATTTCTGAGGCAAGAATATGACAGACTTAGAAAGGTACTAGGAAAGAAGATGAACCTAGTGGGAGGGAAATGAATTCTTTCCTGAAGCTCTTACTGTTGGTAGGATGAAAGCGTGGACCTGGCAGGTAGCTGCTATAAGGGGATAGGCTGCCAAAGGGAACCGGCTCCAGGGCTGGATGTCTGCCCCAACCAGTGACACACCAGCCCTGGATTCAGTCCGCACGCTAAGGTGGTGGAGATGGGGGCGGGAGCGAGGGTAGAAGTAAACAGCGCGGGCACTCATTTCAGAATCTTCAATCCGTCTTGTAATGCTGTTGTCCACTAAGCAATCTCCAGTAGCTTCTTCACTCTTGCAAGGAGAAAAGGGGAAAGAAGGAAGTTTTCTCTCGAATCTTTCCATTGCTTCACTGTCACAATCTCACTTGGATGCTCACAGACAAATGCCTAGCTCAAGTTTGAAAAGATAGATTCACGCTGCGGTTATCTTTTCCGGAGAGTGAGTTTAACACGGAAAGGTGGATGGGAAGCAGAGGTACTTGATTAGGAAGGAGTGGGAACTAGAAAACGTAAAGAAAAGATTGGAAACCCATAAAGACGAATTCTAATTCGTGAGGTGGGAGTGGGAAGAAGCACACTCTCCCAAAGCTAGCAACTCCCAGTCCCTGACGCTTCTGAGTTACGGAGGGTTTTCGGAACCATCAGAAGTGCCCGCCCTCTTCCTTGTGATTGGTCGCCTCCCGCCCGGTGCAGGGAAATTCTCGTCAGGGTATTGGTTGATGTGACAGGCTGTCAAGAACAGTCAACAAACCAGTGGCGACTGAGCCTCGGGAATTTCAGGAAATGTAGTACTCTGGAACTTCCGCATCCAAGAACGATGTCTTACACTTGAAATCTATAAAATTGTTTTAATATTTATTGAATTTAACATATATTGAATATTTATTGAATTACCTAGTTAATTCATGAGGTGTAACCAGCGATAAAAACAAGTTTTAAGATTTTTTCAGGCTATTTCTAAGTGGCTCTGAAATTTTTGTTTACTGATTTAGTTCTGTGAAACACATTTTTTTGAGTGTCAAACACTTTGCTAGGTACTGAAGACTCAAAGCTTTCTACAAGCTCCGTAGTGAAATGGGAGCAAACCTCAACTAAATAAATAATTGTGAAAAAATGTGATGAGTTCATTGAGGGAAATCATGCAAGAGAGGGACTGAAGAGGGTTAACAGAAGGCAGGAGAAGGCCTGCAGGTGGGGAACTCATCATAGTTGAGTCCAGGTGAGAAGGAGTTGGCTAGGTGAGGAGGAGGGAGAAGAGCATTAGAAGCCAGCTGAGAGATGGTCAGAATTACCCCGAGAGCTTTTAAAAAATAGGTATATCTCCATAGGAATAAATTGCAAAACAGAGAGATCACCTCCCCACAGAATTTTATGATCCACCTTTTCACCTAGTTTGAAAATATATCTGTTGGATGATTTGTCATCACTGGATTATGAAACTCTTTGGAGAAGGGACAATTTCTTGCTGAGAGGTTTTGTGTTGTAGTGGAAAAATCCTAGACTCCGTTGTCTGCCAGACATGGATTTCAATCCAGACGTTGGCAATATGGGCAACCTTGGACAAATTCCTTACTTTTCCTAAGGGTCAGATTCCTCATGTGTAAAATGAGATTAATACTACCTTCTTCTTTGGGTTTTGGAGGATAAACTGGGGAAGAAAAATGTAAAGTTTTCACTAATTAGGTACACATAGTAAAATGGAAAAACTACTATCAGGGTCCTTGGGGGGAAAGGGACTTCAACAGGTCACCAGTTTAGGCCAGTACCCCACCAATTTAAGGGGCGGGGACTTTTGGAATTTTGTTTTGATTTTTGCACTTCATCCCTCTCATCAGATTATGAACTCATCCTGACATTCTCAAAACTTTGGTTCCTAGAGGACATATAAACTTTAAACAATTTAAGATGAATATTGACATATCTGCTACTGTAGGTTAGCTTTGTACACTTGCAATCCATCTTCTCCTCTTTCAGAGACGTGTCTAGAATTCTGTTAGGTAAAAAGCAACAACACTCCCAAATATCTACTTTTGTGATGGCAAAGATAAAATAAGGGATCCTCAAACTCATGATACTTCTTATCAGTTTCAACTGATCAATTGGTTTTAAATTAGGATTTTATTTTAAAATTAAAATTAATTAGAAATTTAAAGTTTACAATAAAAATGACTAAAAAATCAATAATTTATATTATTCATTAAAAATTTAGCACATAGGTTAGTTTTACCCATAGTAATCTCACAACAAAATTTTATTTATTTATTCTTGTTTTGTTTGCTTGAATGAGTCAGTGTATCAATTCCAAACAATTGAATAGCTTTCTGCCTTTGGGAGAATTCAATGGCTTTCTGTGATATTCTCCCAAATGGAATTCTTTCTTACCTGCTTATTGAAGAATGGACCAGGAGATGATGATGTAATACTATATACCACTGAGAAGTTATAAATAGCTGTATTATTAATTCATTTAGCTGAGTCAGGACAGCTCTAAACAAAATTCAGTTAATTCAATAGAAATTAAAAGGTAAAAAAAAAAAGTTGATACATAGGAAGAAAGGCAGTTTATTCAATTATTTGGCATGAAAGGCCAAAGACCAAGAATTCATAACATTGCTGAATCTGCCCATCTTCATTATCTTGTTTAAAGGCTACCAGGCTAACAAAGGCTCTGTTATTGGTCTCACAGGGGCAGCTGGATGCTGATTGAGAAGAATAAAGTAGAAACTGAAAATAAATATTTTAAAAAGAAATTATGTTACTGGCAAAAGCTTTCTGGAAGGTAGACAAACTCTACCTCACCTGCTAAGCATTCATTTGTATTGACTTAATTTTCATTTATTGAGTCCCAAAGGATGTGTGCATGACAATAATTGATTCACTACACCATTTAACAGAATATTGAATTTAAATTATCCATAAATTGCAGTAGAGATGTTAATTAGTTAGTTTGCCTGGTTCACGCCCCCTTTTCTGAATGGGTCCCCTAGGCCCTGCTGAAATGCTAGAACTGGGCACCTCTGTTTTGATCCCATGACCATGTGTCTTGGTCTAAACTGATTGGTTCAAAGGCAGACACCTGAAGTAAGCCAAGCCAAGAGATCACCTTCTTCTGGGAATCTGGAATTGAGTCATAAAGATGCTGCCGCTGCTAAGTCACTTCAGTCATGTCCAACTCTGTGCGACCCCATAGATGGCAGCCCACCAGGCTCCTCTGTCCATTAGCCTCAAACTAAGAAGTCATGTAGAGCTGGGATTAAAGCTGAGAGTGCCCAGACATTTATGGAAGCTAGGAGAACCGAGCAGACATACAAACTATACCAGAGAAGTAACTCTAGTGAGGTGGAAAGTCTCCATTCCTGACTTTCCAGTTCCCAATCCTTATTCCTTGGGAAATCTGACAATATTTCCTTTCTTTGTGTTCATGAGTTATAATAGGTTTCTGGTTCTTGCAATCAAATGTTCTGGTCAGAAATTTAGGTACAACCTGCCCCAAATGTAAAGGAATGTAGAGAGATTGTAGCCATTTTTCACTGCCCTTTTTACTTTATACTCACAATTCTCCCTACAGTCAACAGGCTACTGCAGTAACCCAGCAAACAAATGGTGGCTTGGAACGGTTAAAATTAGTGGTTACTGTGAGAAAGGGTCTGACTCTGAATTATATGTTAGTGGTAGAGCCAAGATCTGCTGACAGAAATGAGGGAGGGTATCAGAGAAAGAGAAGAGGGAAGGATAATGCCCCCGTTTTCAG